TGCATTTTAACAACAGGGTAGTTAACAACATCGCCCAAGGGAGCAGAGTGATTTCTGAGTGAAGGTAAAATTGCAATGGAAAATGTGTTGCAAAATCGTGTTGTAAATTAAATGACTTCAATTAGGCCATGTACATTCATCATTGTGATCATGATGTTGATGTTTATTAAATATAAATAAATTTGTTGCAAGCCATGATTATAAACGTGATCAATTAATGGCAGAAAATATTTGTTTGCCAACTGCATTAAAAGTAGCGATGTAGTGAAGTCAATCTCTCGATTGTGGTCTTCTTGAACTACATGTGCTCCATGAGGGGTGCCTCGTTTTTCAGTTGCTACGACATTCGAGAAACCGTAATGTATTTTCTTCAAGCAACATTATCGTAAAACTCTTGAACACCCTTTGACAGCCAATAACCGCTTCCACTCCTCTTACAGCTTTTCAAATGCGTGTAGTTCTCAGGATTTTGTCAACATGGTGTTCTACTAGGAAGTCAGTATGCATGTGGTTAGCGGAATGAGTGCATTTCGCAAGCCTGAGTAAAATTGGATGTATAGGTAGAACCACTTATGCGTGAATAGCTTCAACAAAAGTCAAACCGGTAGACGGCTGCAGGAAGATTTTCATAAATCTTGACAGTGTTATGTCCTATGACTGTTTTACTGATAGAGACGCAAACCCAACTTTCACTATCAGTGACTTACCCTGGCCCCTCGATCATCTGCGGGCAGCCACTGAAAGCTTTTGGGGGCATGATCTGCTTATTAAAGTTTCACGTCTCAAGTCAAGCTCCATATGAATACAAATATTTCAGATACCAGCATTGGCATCAACAAGCCTTGAGGTGGAAAATGTAGCAAGTTATACGTTAAATGAGCCAGAGTGTTCGCCGGTAGTAGAATGATTTCCTATAAGGCGAGTGAAATGCAGGTTTAAAAGGACTCACTGGAGCTCAAAACCATTTTTGTACTTTCGAAAATCTCACCGCAGTTAAGATAAAATAAAGCAGCCACTAGCGACAGCTGTCATTTTTCGGTGTTTCAAGCATTCTCTCCTTTACATGAACCCTTGAAATCCTATTGTTTCATTCTGCAGGTTTTTACGTTCGTTCGGTCCGTGAGACGGACTGACATACATCTGACTCTCATCAATTAAATGATTAGGTGCTTACCCGCTGGCCATGGTAAGAATCCATCATAGAAATTATAGTGCCCCAGAAAACCTTGACATTGGTGGCAACCAGACAGAGTGAATCATAAGAAAATTCGTTCATGGAATGCGGTACGGCAACTCTAGTACTAGGTCAGACGCTCACAACATATTCACTCCTCACTGAAGAGTACTTGAACAATCTCAACTATCAGATTTACGTACCACATCTAGTGAAGTAGAACTTGTTGATCTGTTGAGTTGTAAAATGTCCGGCGGGTGTGCCAAATAGAAAATCTTGCACATCCAAATCTTAACAAAGATGGGAATTTTAGCATAACATTACAAAATTGTTCAAACCTGGTAGTTTGTGGGCACTCCCTGTATGCAATCATAACTACTTATGGTCACATCCTGTGGAAACTCAAAATTCCAATGTTCCACTAAAGTTGCTGCTTTTACTAACTTGATTACTGATGAGAGTGTGACTATTCTGGTGAAAAAAAGATGTACGCATAGTGTTCAAGGCCAGGCAGTTTTTCAACTGATGTGTGGGTGAAATCACGGTAAGTTACCGTTCTCTGTGGCGAGTTAAACTCCTCTCAAGTGGCCGCACAAATCCTTGTGTAAACAGTCTATTACATCGATTCGTTTTGCTTGTTGTAGCTCGCTAATCTTATTCCACCATCTGTTGTTCAATAATTTGTTTGTTATCGATAGTTGTGTAGGATAGCCGGTTGATTGCATGCTTGATGGTCACCAAGATACCACTCAACCTCCCCAGAGTCTTGAAATGCAAATGCATTTCGTTGGCTACTATGCTCATCCTTAATTTGTATGTGAATGAATTCAGTCGGCTGATTGCAGCGAATGCGATTTGGCCAAGATTTTATATTTTGAAAAGAAGTAAAAACGAGTGCAAACTGCCTGGAAAAACAAACAAATTATTTTGCTCTGATGTCTACCTTTAGATGACACATTTAATTTCCCAAAATCACGATATTTCAAGGGATTATGGGTTACTTTAGTGCCTCATATAAGGTGCCACTTGAGCATATGTGTACTGAAGGCAAAGGAGCTTTTATAGCTGGTGTGTAAATAATGTGTGTAGCATTTTGTTTTGGACTGAGAACAACAGCCTCCTAGAAGAAATCATGTCAGAAAGATCTCATGAAAGTTTCTTTACCGCCTATGTTCAGACCCACATGCTGGTATATTCAATATGGGATTACTGTATCCCATTTGGTGGAAAAATCTGAAGCCCACTTCCATAGGGTTTTGTCCGTATCAGCAAGTGTTCTTCAATGATGAATTCATCAGACCATATATAAGTTTATTCAAATACACTTAATACCATTTAATTACACGTATGTGGAGAACTAACGAAACGCTCGCTTGATGCCGTCTCTCGAAACAGTCATTGGAGTAGATTTGGAATCTTGGTAACGCTGAAATCAATTCAAACCATCGCATGGTTTTCGTAAAAAAAACACTACAAATCCAATTACATTCAAAAATATCACCTGTACTACTCGTAATGGGGCATTATTCGCAAAATAAGCACCTTCTTGTATGTCTGCCATGCAACGCTTCCTGGTGAACTCTAGCTAACTACACTAAAAAAAGCACTGGTCGTTGATAGTCATGATGAGAGTATAGGGGTTAGTATGGGGCTGAAATTTTAACATTTAGGTTGCTTGTTTGGTAAGGCAATAAGCAACCAGGTGAGTATCCATAAGTTTATTTCCAGGTCATATGTTTTATACACTTAAGCGCATAAATTCTTTACATGATCACAGTATGAAATCCTAGACTCGGAAAACCAACCTTCAAACCGACCTCCAGTTGTTTTTTGTGGCCACATTTTGCTTTCATGTAGGAGCGTAAAAATAATACAGACAGGTTTGAGTGGATCGGCAGTCTGAGGGGCAGTAAGCGGTCCATACATGGCCTTCATTTCCCTCTGTGGGTGTTTTGAATGATGAGCGCTTGTAGCATTGGTGACCTTCTTGTCGCAGCTAGAGAAAAGTCCTTCCTCTTTGAGTAACGGATTAGCCATAAATTCGTGTTCCTGCATATCTATATCTTTTATTAGGCTAACATTTCAAGTCCCGGATAAGGAAGCTACAAATATGTCATAATGATGCGACTTCAAAATAGGCTAACTCAAATAATAAACGTACCGAAAATAAAACACGAAGCATCCGGTTTCCTTGACAACGGTACTGGGATGGTCAAGAGATTTGGATAGCTAATGTCGAATTTCGTCTCCTTTATATATGCACAGCCGTAAAACTGCACACAGTATAGATATGAGATATGATTATACTAGGTCAAACACTAACTCTAAAGCAAATATGTACGTCATAAAGTCTATTTGAGGAAAAACGCATCCTATCCACAACGACTCAAAATCAGATGCCGGAATGGAAAATTCGGATACCTGTAGACTGAATTTACTTCCACAGGTGTTTTGTTTGCAGGGTCTCAACGTCATGTTTTCGGTAAATAGGTTGGGGGCACAATCTTACCGGTCTCAGATAAGCCTACTAAGCCAGTCCTAAACCCATCATGGCTTATCAGTTCAAATCACTGCATAACAAAATCTTCCATGTTCTCTGGTAACGTTCTTGAAGCTGTATCTACGATTGACAAATAGAAAACGATAGCTGCATTATCTCGTCAAGATAAGTTGAAAGATGACGACGAAAGTGCAGACCTTGATTAGTGGCACTGATCCCAGTGGAACTGATAACTTCCAATGAATTGGATGTTCTTTCAGCCAACTCTGGGAAGTTACTTTAGTGCATATGAAACTTCTTGTTCAGTTTATTTTCCAAAAATCACTGAAATCGTTCTTCGCACTTATCATGTTTACTTGGATGTAGTTTCATGCGGATGGCCTGTGACAAAATAAGAAATGGTCTAGTGGAAAGTAAGGTGTTTAATTTTTATGTTACGTATACCAATAAAACAAATGCGATGAAAATTTCTCCCTAAACGAATATTAAGTAATACTCAGCCCTTTTCAACACACATTCTGTGACCTCTCCCTTTACTTCACTGAAATGTTCTTACAATAAATGTGTGAGCAAATCTAAATTTCACGCCAGCTACCCTCAAAGGACTTCAGATTATCTTAGTCAAAATTGTTCTTCGGCTTGTTTGAGAAAGCCTTGAAAAATCATGAGGTCTACTTTGCCCATTTTATCGGAAAAAATAAGGAGTTAAGCTATTTTGTCAAGCAAAAGCTTCACCCACCCATCCTAGCTTCACAGAGTTGGACAACCTCCTAAGGGGAGAATCTAGTTCCGCTGATAATAACATCTGGATATTCATCATTTTAAAGATCTTAACGGAAAATTAGCTCTGGCGATTCTTGTAGTCACAGTAAAGGCCTATTCATTCCTTTATTTACCTGTTCAGAAAGTTTAGACCCAATGTTTGAAAGAAGGTAGTGATCATTAAAGGTTAAAATAGTTTATGCTGAAATCATAGCAAGTTAAGTCCCATTCGGCCGCATTGTTTTCACGACAAGAGACACCTATGACCCAACTCATTGAGAGTTTTGAATTGTGGAATTGGGAGGAAAAATAATGCGACATCAATCGTACAATGGTTGGTTTCACTGCATGTTGTTCTCTAGAACCTCACACAAACGATTTTGAACTTACGAATGAAGAACCGATCGGCTTGCACCCTCTTCACCACTCTCATTACATCGCTCTCAATAAACAGGTTTCCTAATAACTGAAAAGCCCAAAAGGATGCTTCTAATTTTGCGTCTCAGCCAACTGCTCACCAGTTAGCTTAAAATATATATTTCACTGTTCTTTTTTAATTATTAGAGCTGGTCCAACTTCAAGTATGTGAAGTTATGCTGACATACTCGGCATCTGTAACCTCCGGGGATCATCTTGTTTACTCCGCCTTGTTTACCACAAAGCTAGTTGATGGTACGTTTCAGTCAATGGGGTCAACAGTGACATAGGGCCAATTTTTTCGCATGCGGTCAGTCTAAACACTTATAGTTCCCAATATGCGTAAATCTAGTCGCTGGTCACACATATTATAGGCATTTTTGAGGCGGAATAATCTTGCATTGGATGTTGGTCCCTTCACAGGAATGTCGCGATCGGAGTGCCTCATCATCGGCTCCCAACTGAGAAGAGAATTAACTGCATTGCATCACACTGAAGGGTTTGCCTCATCGGATATAATGTTTCAGGTACGTCCAGAGGTTGATAACGGATTAACACGTTCTCCCTGTATGTCACATTTAGGGAAGTCAAAGGTTAACATATAGAGAGTTGAGCCCTGCTGGTTACTTTAAGTAGGCGAATAGTGTTAGTGCGTTTTTTACACGCTTTACACCGTCTCATTAGCATAAGCTGATGTGAACAGAAGGAAGACTTTTAAAACTTACCCAACTAAGGCACAGTCCAAATGTTCTTAACTAGGCTTAGATCTATGGGAGTATTTAAAAAACTGTCAGACCATTTTCTGGAATTTTACCGAGTATAACCTGGCCATAATATCAGTCTCTCTAAAACGCCCGTGTATCCTTTTCTTTTCTTTTTACAACTGGTTTTATGCTCAACGCCTTTAGCTAATGCTAGTCTATCACAGTATTTTTTGCCACATCGGTTGGGACCTGATGTGTACAATATATCCGGAAATTCATGGTTACTTTAAAAATGACTTGGGCCATCTCATTTTTACTCAGTAATCGAAACGTTCTGTAAAACAAATCAGTTTCCGGTTAACTCCTACAATAACCATGCAGACCCAGGGCTCCGCGGGTGGCCATTTCATGTTTCTCATTGGACCAAATGGAAACATCCGGAATGCTTGTAATTTCCACCGTGAGTGATCAAGCCTATGCCACTACACAAGTTTTTTCACGTGGATTGTGACAACCGCATGTGACAACCGTCAAAAACGTAGCTTGTCCAGAAAAACGAATAAAATTTGTATCACAAACTTGATCTTATTTGTAATTTCCAATTTACGGTAATAACTCACCACGCACTATCTGGCAAAATACGACAGTACCCACAAAAATGTAAGCTAACAAACGTAAGTAAAATAAATTAACTGGCCAACAAATAAGCTATCACACCATTAAACTGATCGTAGTCAGTCTCCCCACTCTTTAAAATTATTCAAAACGACATTCAAAATTGCCATTTGTGTACAAAATTATTCGTATCGATAGCCAAAGAACAAAGCCTCACCCACACTAATAAAATACCGTTATTAGTTCTGTCTGGTGCTCCGAAATCCCTTTTATGACGCCGTCATTTTGGAAGCAAAATAGATGAAAATGGACATGTTTCAAGCTGTATGCAGTGTAGCCTACAGCTACTTCAACTTCAAAATTCGTAAAAACACAAAAAGATATAAGGTTTCCAATTTTGAGTCACTTAAGCAACGTGATCCGGAGTAAATTAGCAGTTAGGGAAATTTACATTTTATTAGGTGTATTCCGGTAATTCACGCCTTTTCGTTAATGGCGGTACGTCAGGTCGTAGAAAAATATTCAGCTTAGGTAGCACCGGCTACCCGTTCAGCGTGATTAACCCATTCTCAAAAGGCATTGACTTTCGGGATCTCTCACTATCCAGTTTACCAATAACCTTGTATTTTCGGGAGACGATCGACAATTTTACTTCAGTTGAGTTTTTGAAACTTCGGTAATCTGTTAAGCGTGACAAATTTTATTAATTATGCAAAACCTGCCCATTGTTTTTTATCCCAAAGCTTGTACCCGTATGCCCCCCACGATATCATCCAATGCTGGTCGTATTTTCATTAATGCGTACAAAATATGCAGGCTCCTAGTCGTGAATGACTGCCTAACTGATCCACCCTGTGGTTTTTTGCATAACATAGATTAGGTCCTCACTGAAATATCGTTTGAATCCGTTTCAGGCTAATAAGTATCAAAATACTTATTCATTCAAGGTCACCGAGTACAAGCTCCGCAGACCCGCTAGCGAAAGAAGAAGAAGGAATTTATAACGAAGTGCAGCATAGCTGTCACAGTGCACTCATCATACACCCACTTGTCGAGTGTCAGAACATTCCGCTTGAACGTATAGGTCATGGGCCCCAGGCGAGGGATTAAGTTTCCACATAACAAAATGAACCTAACTGTCGACTTGTACAACCCGGTAGACAGCATTTGAAATGACAAACGCACCATGTCTAACCGCATCGCAGAAGCCAAGTGGTGAGGTTTCTCTTACACTCTTAAATAAAACTCATATGCCACACGTAATTCAGCCAGCCAATCAGCTGCTATTCCGGAATTTAATGAATTTCAATTCGAAATTTTTGGTAGTCTGTCTCAGCGGACTTAATTTTGTTTATATGATACTGACTGAATCATAGTCGGGTTCCACTGGGGTTTGCACTGTTCAAATGTACATAGTCTGACAAGCGAACATTCCATTGTCATAGCAAACCCTACCATTAGAAAACGACAGGACTTCTGTGGAGCAGGCCAACCTCATTTGGGCATACCCACATCACAAGTACGTTGTAATTGCTTTAACACCCGAAATTCCATACTTCGCATTTACATTTGGATTAGGCTGTTTAGTTTCTTCACCAGATTAGATAATTATGGTTTAATGATTAAGAGCTTACGTATACGTTCTTTCGATCCCAGGCTGATGTAACCCAGCAGTGTTTCCATCATACTTCTGGATTTCTGGATGGTTTCATATTTGCCGGAGTACAAAGTTGCTGAAAATCCGTTACAGAAGACTATGAACACATGCACCCTGTAATGAAATATGACGTCAATTTCTCTCCATCAGTATTCGCCTGTTGGTTTAGTCGCCTGTTCGTTTGGTCGATTAGAGGGAATTCGTTCCGCTTTGTGATAATCATTATGTGTTTCCAACTGAATAATTAATAAAAGGATTCGCTGGTTTAATTCCCACTAGACACTTGGTAAGCCATAATTTATTGAAATTATTGCCGCTGTTTAGTATTAGGTTTCAACCCGTAATAAAGTAAAAATATCAAGTTGATAATCAAATATTGTCACCATAAAACTAAACTGAAGATGTTAGGCTGTATGAACAAATGACTATCTATAATTAGTTATCTACAGATACGGTTCTTAGAGATCAGTTTCTCTGCTTAGTCACACACCAACAAGATTCACCTTACACACTTTAAGCGAACGGCCAGACACGGACAGTTGCACTATCGAATTTAAACAAACTATGTTTAATATGAAATGTGTGCGCATCACAGTACTGTGAGTAGAGACCTCTCGGTTAAACTATACTAATTTACGAATATCAAGTTGAGTTCAGAGAGACTTTTCGTGGTCCAAAGTTTTGAAGTTTTCGAACTTTGCAACAGTATAATGGAGCTGAAACAATCTTCCGTTTGACACTATCTCAAACGGGATTGGAAATTTCTTCGTCTTTTCCCCATTTAAGTTAGCGCTTACATGTTTCTTTGTGTAACTAAAGGACAAGTTTTCATGTTATTGGCATAGGTGTCAGCTTAGTACTGTTTTGAATGAGATCAGGTGATCATCAAAAAGAGCCGATTACTCACTGAAGTCTGAGCAGCTGCTCTGTACCCACAATTCACCCTTCCACGAAGTCCGCCTCGCCTGATACCGATACAGTGGCGCATGTTGAGGGAGAGTTGGTACCACTAACATACTTACCCATACGTTGTCTGATCTTCCGGGCCTGCTCTGACCTGATCTGTCGCGGTTTCCGTGTGATCACACCGCCAGTCAGACTCACGAGATTGACCTCAGACCACAACCCTTGCTACTGAACTAGCATTCCGCTTGCCATTGTGTGGTGTGAAGACCTTGATACTGTGCTGTCCCGGTCATTGACATACTTGCGAACTTTTCGACGTCAAGAATGTAAACAATTGATGTTCACTGTGTAAATCCACTCAACTGTGTAAAGAGTACCGCAGAATTGTGAATCCAGGTCGTCCTTTTGCTATTTATTATTCTCGGACCTGCGTGTGACAAAAGTTCGGTATGAAGGACCCCATTAATTTCAATACATGAAAAATTCTCCCCATTTTTTTGGGTTTAAATATATTTCAGCACCTGTAGACAAAGTGGTTTCAGGATGAATGCCATATTAGGTTTATCGATGACAGTCAGACTTGTGACGAGTGAACAACCAGCGAATAGTTGGCAATAGTATGTCAATCTGGAACCCGATAATTTGAGCTTAGCGTGTTGTGGCGTAGTGTTGATTAATGTATTCACTGAGTAGGAACATCAAGGAAATCTTTCTTCAGGTGACTGTGAAGGCCCACAATAATTCTGTGAACTTGTGTCAATCTGCATACGATAACAAGTGAAGTCAACCAATATGAACAACGACGAAAACACTATTAACAGATAAACCAACTAACTACGCTCCTGGACGACGATTCTGGACAGACTTTAGCAGACTCTTTACAGCAGCCAATCAATTTGCAAGCATCGCCTGTTATTCCAGTCGGGACTGTCCTTTCATTGAAGTCAGTCTATTCCTGAAAGTCTAGAATCACCATAGAGTTGCCTCATCCTTCCTGAGTATCACCAGCAGTGCGCATCTCACCACCGTTTAGTTATTCAAAATCATTTAACACGTGACGAAGCATTGTGAATCGCCTAACTGAGGTATGAGTCGCGCTACATCCTTTCTAAGTGTGAGTTGGTTGCATTGATGATCAGCCGTGCATTGCCGAACAATATAGTCATCATCTACGAACCTAAAAGTCGCGGTTTGAAATCGCTCTACAGATTTGTGATTATTCCCGGTGAGGATGGAACAGTACCTTTTGTCTTTTCGGCTGAATTCGGTTCACTGCTCTTACAGAACGACTATTCGCTCGGAATTTTCAAGTATCCTCATACCATTTTCGGATCTCATAAATGCAAATGGTCAGCGTCATGTGAATTACCAAT